TTCACATCGGCGAGGTTGTCGTTGGCCCCAATCCACAAGCTCCCGTTCATTTGGGCGATGTTGCCCAGGCCGTTCACATCGGCGAGGTTGTCGTTGTTCTCAATCGTCAAGTCCCCGTTCACTTGGGTGATGTTGCCCAGGCCGTTCACATCGGCGAGGTTGTCGTTGTTCCAAATCGTCAAGTCCCCGTTCACTTGGGTGATGTTGCCCAGGCCGTTCACATCAGCGAGGTTGTCGTTGTCCACAATCCACAAGCTCCCGTTCACTTGGGTGATGTTGCCCAGGCCGTCTATATTTCTCAAGAAATCATTCTCAACCATTGACAAATCCTTTCCAACCGTTTTTATTCCAGCGAGCGGTTTTAATGATTGCAAGGTAGTGTTCAGGATGACAATACTATGTTGCACTTCCTTCAATAGTCCAGCCAAAGGTTCAAGGGAAGCCAGCTCATGACCTGAAATGTGAAGAGCATTTACCACGCCACTCGTCTCTCTTAAAACCTCAACAAGTCCCTCCAATGTCACATCTCCCAAATCATGGCACTTGCATACCGTCGGTTCAAAGACATCCAAACTAGTGACACACTCAATGTCATCCAAACAAATGCATGCTGAGTTGAATGTCTGGTCAGAGCATTTTGCCCAAGTGCCACTTGCAACAAATACCACCCCAACACACAGCAAACCAAGCAACCATCCACACACTGTCTTGTAAGCCATCAAGAAATATGGCTTCTTTGTTGCCATTTGGGCAGGGGCTGGTGATTGATAAGCCTCCTCTCAAATCATGCAGGAATCTGCCCCCTTCACACAGCAAACACACAACATGTAAAATGGTTCTGGAGAAAAGAATATTATAGTCTACAGGAGTACAACAGTCAAAATATAGGTTAAAAATTCTGTAGGCTATTGTATCTGGGTGTTGACCTGCATATTTACACGTGCCCAACGTTCCTCCGTCAAACACAATATACAACAGAGTAACGCCCCCTCCGCCCCCTCCGCCCCCTCCGCCCCCTCCGCCCCCTCCGCCCCCTCCGCCCCCTCCGCCCCCTCGCCCCTTCCTCGTGAGACTCACCACCCAGCCAAAGAAGGGCAGCACCAAAAAGGAGGAAGAGGCACAGAAAGCCTCTCTGTAATGAATGGATCTAGGCAAAGCACATGGTCTCAAGGAAGTGCCAAGGGGAACAACCCCAATGATGGGGAAGCGCCGAAGCCGGTAGAAGTTCATGACCCCATTTCTAGCAAAATCGGGGTGAACTGGCAAGGGGGCATGGCCCTAAAGGCGAGGGCAGGCAGGCAACGCCCAGCGTACAAGACAGAAGCAGGCAAACCCCAGAGGGTGGGCACAAGAGTGTGCAAGTGCAAAAGTGGAAGGGCAACATGGTGCCATTGAGCAGAGGCAAGCAAAAGAAATGGAACAAGAAGGGCTGAATGCTAGGGCGCAAGAGACAAGCCAAGGCACCAAGGGTGAATGGGGTACATAAACAAACACTTGTATTGAATCCTATCATTTGACAACTCGAGTCAGCGCCATGTTGATGAAAGATGCAGCAGCAGCCTTTGCACAGCTACCAGCCCACTTGCTCACTCATTCATGCGCTCACCCACCCACCAACCAACTCACTCATGATTCAATGCTCCAGCCATCCTAGTTTGGGCACACAAGGTGAGTGGGGGTGGCTGCCCTTGCAAACACATCTGCCTCAAGTGATAGGAGATTCAAAGCAGCAAAAGAGTGCAGGCACATCATGAAACTATTCAAGAACTGCCTTTGACATGCTGTAAACTTGAGTGTCAGCAACCTAGCAACACTGCCCGCGAACTGGAAGAGCATTACACCTTACACCATGTCACACTCTGCTAACATGTTGTTAATTTTTGACAGCACCAATCATTGTGGACACACGCCAACAAGCGCCAACATGTGGGGCTCAACATCCTTTTGTAAAGGAAGACACTAACTCTTAACAATGGCCATTGACATACTGCAAGTTCCCTAACATATTTCAAACTTCATCATGGGTGTACCCTTAAGGGCAATAGTGCCTCCTTTTGCCCTTGGCTTCAATTCCATCTAGTCAGTTCCTATGTATTGTGCTTCCCCCTCATCAGCAGGGCACGTCAATATGCATGCATGACCTACATCAGCAACTGATGAATTCCAGCAGTGATAATGGTTGGCAGCATCACGTTGCTCTTGGTAACAACAGGTGGTGCTCACATGCAGTGTGCAACTATGTGAACGAATCACAATGTGTGCAGTGATGGTCATTTGCAATCACGTGTCACTCTCAGAATCAACAAGCCAATATTCCCTGCAGAAATATGATGTGCATATGTAAGCGCGTGGCAAGCATACTCGGCACATATGTGCTGAGGAATTGTCACCACGCAGTCAGACATGTTATTGATTTGCCGGAAATCAACCAGGGAACTGATATTTGCAGCACAAATTCGTGGCAAAGATGACAGCACATTGCTGGTGTTATTGGCTTGCCAGTGGGTCACATCCTTTTTCCAATTGCCGTAGTCGATGCCTGCACTGTGCGTTTGGCGCCTGTGGTAAATTAGGTGTCTTTCTGAGGTCACAATCGTCAGCCACGCACATAGCCCTTCAGCGGGCTGCGTCATTGCTTAATTAACCAACGACCTTGTAAGGCACTGGAAAAGTCCCAACCCTTTATGTACTTAGCCAACGCCCTATTGCGCGCCAGTCCCCTGCCTGGCTTGTGTGCGGCGCTCATCGCACCCTAGGAGCACACAGCCAGCACAGCGGCTCCGACAAATTCAGCGCAAAAACGCCCGTGGGGTCACAGCGCGGGTGGTTCAAAGGACCCGAGGCACCGGTGCGTGGTGCCCGGCGTCGGCGCTGCGCCGCCCGGGGCACGCGGCCGCCCATCCACATTCATGTGATTGCCTGTGTAGTTGATACCCCCCTCGCACACTGGGACTGGGCCAAAAGAACGCAGCACCGTTCGCTCCGCTAACAACTCTGGAAGTCCTTAAGAACCCAAACGGGCGCGGAGTAGCCTGTTGCGCCTTGCGATAAAGCGTGGCATGGATGCCCATCCTGATAATCGCACCCCGACGGACTGCAGCACAGGCCGATGGCGGCGTCAACAGCACAGGAGGGTCCATAACGGCCCAAGCCAGGGTCGGGCCATACCGATGCGCCTCACAATTGCAGGCCACTTCGCACAGTGACTCGGGTCACACCCCGAGCGGTACCCCCCCCAACCAGCTTTTTGAGCCAGCTTGCCGGCCAAGCAGGTTGCCAATCATCGCATGCCACCCACACTAAACAGAGAGGGGTGTGCGGCTCACCTTGCACGCGCGGCTCCTCTTGACTCCTCCCGACTTTGGGGGCCTGCATTGGAAAGGACACTGTGTCAGGCTCGTCGTCCGACAGGAGGGCTCTCGTATGCGGAGCCGCCCTTTGACATGCTGCAAACTTGAGCGTCAGCAGATATGTGCTGAGGAATTGTCACCACGCAGTCAGACATGTTATTGATTTGCCGGAAATCAACCAGGGAACTGATATTTGCAGCACAAATTCGTGGCAAAGATGACAGCACATTGCTGGTGTTATTGGCTTGCCAGTGGGTCACATCCTTTTTCCAATTGCCGCAGTCGATGCCTGCACTGTGCGTTTGGCGCCTGTAGTAAATTAGGTGTCTTTCTGAGGTCACAATCGTCAGCCACGCACATAGCCCTTCAGCGGGCTGCGTCATTGCTTAATTAACCAACGACCTTGTAAGGCACTGGAAAAGTCCCAACCCTTTATGTACTTAGCCAACGCCCTATTGCGCGCCAGTCCCCTGCCTGGCTTGTGTGCGGCGCTCATCGCACCCTAGGAGCACACAGCCAGCACAGCGGCTCCGACAAATTCAGCGCAAAAACGCCCGTGGGGTCACAGCGCGGGTGGTTCAAAGGACCCGAGGCACCGGTGCGTGGGCCCGAAGTGCCCGGCGCTGCCAGGTACGCTGGGCCGCCCATCCACATTCATGTGATTGCCTGTGTAGTTGATACCCCCCTCGCACACTGGGACTGGGCCAAAAGAACGCAGCACCGTTCGCTCCGCTAACAACTCTGGAAGTCCTTAAGAACCCAAACGGGCGCGGAGTAGCCTGTTGCGCCTTGCGATAAAGCGTGGCATGGATGCCCATCCTGATAATCGCACCCCGACGGACTGCAGCACAGGCCGATGGCGGCGTCAACAGCACAGGAGGGTCCATAACGGCCCAAGCCAGGGTCGGGCCATACCGATGCGCCTCACAATTGCAGGCCACTTCGCACAGTGACTCGGGTCACACCCCGAGCGGTACCCCCCCCAACCAGCTTTTTGAGCCAGCTTGCCGGCCAAGCAGGTTGCCAATCATCGCATGCCACCCACACTAAACAGAGAGGGGTGTGCGGCTCACCTTGCACGCGCGGCTCCTCTTGACTCCTCCCGACTCGGGGGCCCTGCGTCGAAAAGGACATTGTGTCAGGCTCGTCGTCGGACATGGCGGGCTCTCGTATGCGGGGTGGGGACTGGTGCTTCCCATGTCTCCCACGACACGTCACCCTTCCACACGCATCGCTGCAACGATGCTCGGGCATCACAGCAGGGAAAAGGACAAGCGGCCTAGGCTCCCGGGCCGATGAGGAGGCTGGCCGACGGCGATGGCAGGGGCAGGGGCGTCGACCCAGGCGCCGCTGCGTGGCTACCCCATTCCACGAATGGCCATGCAACAAATCTCTATACCTTTCCCGACAGAGGGCCCACCGGCAGCGCGCAGAGCGTCGTCCACACTACTCACAGGTGCGGCGACTCGGAGAGCGCTGGCCAAAATGCGTCGCATCGGCGACCAAGGTAACCAGGGCCTTTGGCGCCCGTATTTATGGGCCGACGGTTGTACCTGAAGGGTTAGCTCAGCGCCACGCGATGTCCACCTCTGCTGGCTTTGGCGTCCAACACGAAGCGGTCCATTCTAGTAACCCGCATGATGGCCGCGCCACGCAAGCGAACTGGGGGTTTTGATGGTTCATGGCATTATCTGATTGGTGGCGTCATCACGCTGTGGGTGGGTTGGTCAACGACACCAGCGCCGAGGTGACGCCGGACGCCTCCCCAGCCACTACCTACGTACAGCATATTCCGTTCTTTGTGGCCAGTTTGGGTCACAGGATATCGCACGTGTGATTCTCCCGCACTGCAACGGGCCGGGAGACGCCTGAGCAGACATCACACACCAAACGGCTCCTGTCCAGCTGGCATCGCAGTCCCGGGTCGGACTCAATATTGAATCGCCTACCCCCCCTCCCCTCCCCGCCACGGCCCCTGCTGCCGATTGTGTGAAGGCGCCTTTGCTGTGTGCGTGCCTTGTGGGGCTCGGATCCTTGTCCAAACAGGCCAGCCCCAACAGCGACTTGGCTAGTCAGCGGTATAAAGATCTGTGCCTGGGCATGACACGACCCTTCGGGGTGGGCGCAATGGAATTCGACATGCGGAATAAACTGTTCACCGATTCACCGCATCGAAATGCGACCAAAATCGCTTCACACAGGACGCTGGGCTTATCCCCACGCAGGGAATCACCCGCCCGACCGTCAGGTCCCACCCTCACTCGGTGAGGAGGCCTTTTCAGGTGCTCCGGTAGCAAGAAGGATGCTCTTACAGACCGGGGGCGGCTACAATGCGCACCCCCGCCACTTTATACATTATCCCCACGCAGGGAATCACCCACCCGATCGTCAGGTCCCACCCTCACTGCGTGAGGAGGCCTGTTCAGGTGCTCCGGTAGCAAGAAGGATGCTCTTACAGACCGGGGGCGGCTACAATGCGCACCCCCGCCACTTTATACATTGTCCCAACCAGGGTCATACGACAAATGCAAAAGGTCCACCAAAAGGTCCACACTGGGATCCAAATCTTTCCCATAGCCACATGTCTGGATATCCCTTATAGCCCAACCATCGCACCGCCCCATTGGTCATCTCACTAGACTCCCATGATCCCCCTCTCATTCACAATATCCATCTCAGTTCACCCATATCAAACTCTGTTATAGGAAAAATGGGTATAAGGTATTTTTATTCTCTGGATCCCATCTCGTGTAAATGCATTTTTTTACTATGCCATTTTCCTTAATTTGTATTTATGTTGTTGAATAAGAAAATCGACATTATTAAGTAAATGAGAAAAATAAATTATTAATTATATCAACATGTGCGCAATAGAGAATTAATCCGGTAGTGGAGCGTATGCCTAAGCAGCATTATTGAGAAATGTTTGCTGTGCCTTTGTGTACAAAACAAGCTGCTAAAAAGCGTTGCAAGAGCCAATGTAAATAAGTTGGGAAATGTTTGCTACGCCAATGTGTAATAATCGAATTATCCAGATTGCCATGCGAGTGCCCACGCATTGATGTGGTGAAATCTTTGCTACGCCATTGTAGGAGTATCAAGAGTCCCATGCACAACAAAAGTGTCTTCACGAGAACGAAACCAAACATATTGTGTTTTCTATTTCATCTAATAAAAGTGATTCACTTTGTGCCTACAGAAAAGGCCGTTGTAATTGCGGAAGGTTTGGTCACTGTGTTTACAGGGCTGTGTGTGTGTGTGTGTGTGTCCAAGAGTCTAACAAAGAGTTCACCCTTGTGTGTATGGTGTAGACAGAAGGTGACAGCCAGCGTGGCAAACAAGAGGTTCAAATTCCTGGACATGACTTGTCGAGGGTGCACGTACCACGCCACAGGAAAAGCAAATAGGAGGTGCCAGTTTCTGTATATTGACAGTTCGAGGGTGCGTTTGCTATGCCGCCGGCATAGCAGATAGGGGGTGCCAGGTGTTGTACATTGAACTTTTGTGGGTGCGTTAGCCATGCCCTAGGCGTAGCAATCAGGGTGTCCCACTTCCTATGCAGTGACTTTTCCGTGGTGCATCTGCTACGCCACCCATGTGGCAGACAGTTGGTCTGACAAGCTCAATTTTGACTTTCATGGTAATTGTGCCATTCCACTGGGATGGTGGACAGGGGGTCCAGGAGAGCAATTCTTTAAAAGACTTCTGCTCTACCAATGTCAAGAACTGGTCACCTGTCTGCGTATCAGACAGTGAATTGTTGTGTACGTGCTTGTAGAAGCCTGCTTTGGGGCGTGAAACCCGAACTTCACAGGAGCACAAAGGCATTGACAATGGCCCTACACAGTGGTAGCTGCCCGGCCCGAAGAAGAGGCATTGAAACCCACGCTCTTCCACTTTCTCGCTGGCCGCGACAAGCGCACCCGCTTTGCAACAGCTGCCCAATGAGAACCTTGGCATAACCGGCAAGCTAGGGCGGTGTGGCCTGAGCGTTGTGCTGTTCAATGAGCTACAGGCGAAACCCTGGCGGCACGAGGTTGCTGCGCAGAAAGCGTGCGAGGGTTTGCAGTTGAGAACGGGCAGGTTTCAGGTTTGAAAGCAGGTGTTGTACATTGACTTTTCAAGGTGCGTTTGCCACGCCGCCGCATAGCAATCGCCGGGTCCCGGTTGTTTGTATATTGACATTTCGAGGGTGCACTTGCCACGCTGCCAGAACACCAAGCAGTCACTTTTTGTAAACAAGCATCCAATGCTTTTTTAAAAGTCTCAATTAAATTTTTCAT